AGTTCTACACTAAGTCAGAATGAATAATATTGAAAGATCTGTTTTATTTCTCTCTCACTGATTAAGCACAGCTGAAAAGTGCTACTGAGTGACTGAATTGAAGTATCTTGAACTTATATAAGCTCTGTGGAAATTACTACAGTATTTAGACAGCAAGTTTACAGTTGTTACTAATTATATCACTCTTGTATTCACTTTTCAGTTATCAGTAATGAGTTATCATAGTAATCAACTGATGAATTAAGTCTTAGTTCTAAGCTTATATCTCTCACAGATGATAATTCACTATTATAAGAATACTACACACACTAATACTGATACTCTATTCATATTACATTGTCTAAATAATGATTTAGAAGAGATTCTCTCTGAAGAGTAGAAAAGAATCTATCAAATTATTATTAATCAGACAGACAGACTAATAATAAATATATCTTCAGTGAATATATATATAATTTCAACTAGAGTGATAGAGCTCACTGATAAAATCAAAGAGTAACTACACTGATATATTCTCTGTAATTCAGCACTAGAAAAGGTCATTCACAAGATCAGTCAGAAAGAGAAATATCAGTTATTTACAGTATAAGACAGGCTATTATTCTTTAAAGAATCACATTTTTGTATTCTTAAATCACTGAGATAAGAGATTATTTATATATGTTATAATACAACAGATCATTATGATCTTTATTAAATAGAAGATCTTATTCATCAGTTCTTCTTTCTTTCTTATATCTGTAGAAGAATTCTGAATCATCTATTATAATATCTTAATTATTAAGTAGTTAAATCACTGAATCACTTACTAGAGAGTAAATTATATCTTATCTTATCTCTGAAATAGCTGTTTGAAGTTCTTTCAATTAATTTTATTACAGAATTATCTGTGAGTGACAGTTATAACACTATATTAACAGTTATAGATAAATTTTTAAAAGTGATAATTCTAATTACAGAGTAGAAATAATGAAACACTTTATAATAAGTGAAAGAGTTCTATAAGAAGATGATCTATCACTGACAGCTCTCACTAATGATTATTTCAGATAGAGATTTTAAATTTATATTACAATTCTGAAAGTCAGTTCTTCAGCTTATAAAAATTAAGACATGAATAACAATTGCTTACAATTCTCACTTAAACAGTTAAAGTAAATGAATCAATCTTATTATTGAAGTCATATTGTAAACACTTCTTATAGATGAATATGAAGTGAGTTGAACTGCTCTGCTTAAATAAGTGAAAAGAGTATTAAACTCAGTAGCTGTATAGTCAGTGATAATCTCTCTCTTCAAGCTGCTCATAAGTGTAAAGTCTAGATAACTGTTATTAAAGAATGAGAAAGCTTCACTAGATGTAGCTGAGTTTATTATTATATAAGACATGATGTAGTAAGACATTCTTAACTTATACACTCTGATAAAAGCTAGAATGACTGAGTTTTTCAACTGATCTCATTTTTAATCAACTATTCAGACTGATGATTAAGTCTTCTTACATCTCACTTAAAAGACTTAAAAGAGTTACATGTTAAAAGAAATGTTTAAGCTATTACTCTTATAGATAGACTTATTTTACATTCTTCAGAAAGTATTGAATATTACATTGTAATTAAAACTGTTAATCAGTTAATAAATATACTCAGTAATCTTCATTATTGATCTGAAAAAGACTGCATTAATAGAAGTAGATATGAAACACTTATTATCAAAGTCAGTACTTATTGATAATCAGTTGTAATTTGAAGTTGAAAATATTATAAAAAAGCACACAGAGAACAGTAAGACTTATCTTCAGATTAAGTAAAAGAGATATAAGAATCTGATCTGAGAGTCTTTTAAAGTGATTATATAAGACATCTTACATCTGATCAAGATCTTTATAATTAAGAAGTCTCACAGTCAGCTGTGTAAAGAATAGAAATAAAAGTGAAATAGAGAGAGAGTTTTATTATTATTATTATTCTTTCATTATACTCATATGCAAGTGAAGCTTATAATGAGTCCTTGCGTGATGTTAAATACAGGTCAAGTGTTGATTATACAGAAGGAAATACAGGTGTTAAGATCACATCAAGATAACAAGAACATAGAAAAATACAAAGAAGTGACAATTAAATACATGTGATAATAACTTCCCAGCTCAGGAACATAGAGCAATTTATTGAAGTGATTTGTACATCTCTGTATTTATTAGAAATCTGAGGTGCTTGAGTTCCGGATTTAATATATTCCCTGCGGGTTTCAAACTCACACACCTTGATTTCTCGCATCAAGATGCTACTGAGTGACCGCATTAACCATTCAGTCACCGGGGCAATAGAGAGAGAGTAAAAGAAAGAAAGAAAATGTATTATAATCTATTTTTAGACTGACTGCTAAGATCATGAATTTCACATTTAATCTCATTTAATCTGATCTTATACATTTCTTGATGTGAATTCTACTGAGACTAGTCATTAAAAAAACATGTAAAGTAACTATATATCAGATCTTAAAATGAAATCATAACTTGAAAAAAATGAGAAAGTGATTTCATTTAATTTCATTTAGTCTCATTCTTGGTATAAAGTTACTATTTTTAGACATTTTAAGGTTTTTTTTAGACTATTTTTAATTTTTTAAAAAGTAATGCTTTTTGATAACACTCAAATGAGATTTAAAGTCATTTAAAGCAATAAAAATAATTTAAATTGAGAAGTAAAAATCATGATCTCATTTGAAAAATGTGATAAGAGTAGACAGTAAGTCTCACTGAGACAGTATAAGACTACTATCTAATGTTAAAACTGTGTAATGAGATCAGTTGAATTGATAATGAGACTATCAAAAAATCTGGTTCTGGTCTCAGACACGGTCACATAGTCAGTCTATCTATTTTTAGCTATTAATTATAAGAAGATAAAGAAAACAAAGAAAATTATCTCTTTCACTTTCTCTTTTTTAATATTCTATTTTTAAGCTGTAAGAAATTAAAATCTTCTACAAGATAAATATAGAGATATTATCTTCTGTTATTTTTATTATTTCACTTTATCTTTTCTTACTAATTATTCTCAAGCTCTTTCTACAGCTTGACCTTCTGTTCAGTAAGATATGTATCTCAGAATACAATATTCACTGACAACTCTTTATTTATAAGATTGCTGAAACACACTCTGCTGAGTAACTTAAAGAAATAATTATTAATTACAGTATTCTCTATAGCTGAAATTATATTAATAAACTTAGCTATCTTATTCAGTTTCTTTCACACAGTCTGAATTAGACTGACCGTGTGACCGTGTCTGAGACCAGAATCAGAATATTTGATGATCTCATTATCAATTCAACTGATCTTATTACACTGTTTTAACATTGGATAGTAGTTCTATACTGTCTCAGTGAGACTTACTGTCTACTCTTATCACATTTTTCAAATGAGATCGTGGATTTTCACTTTCTCAATTTAAATTATTTTTATTGCTTTAAATGACTTTAAATCTCATTTGAGAATTATCAAAAGCATTACTTTTTAAAAAATTAAAAATAGCTAAAAAAACCTTAAAATGTCTAAATAGTAACTTTATGTCAGGAATGGAGACTAAATGAAATCGAATGGAAAGCACGTTCTCATTATTTTTGAATGCATGGATTTCATTGTTGACAGACCGGAACAATAGTCACCTTTGGATGGATGATTTATAATTAGTCTCTCGGCGAAGTTCCTGATGCACAAATTGCATGAGACTAGATTAAATGAGATTAAATGTGAAATTCATGATCTCAGCGGCCAGTCTACTTTTATATAAATGAGATGTTTACTAATTACTTAATAAATATCTATATATATAAAAGACTGTATAATAGATAGATCTTAATAATATAATTAATTACTATATTATATTATCTTTATTATTTTTCTTTTATTTTTTATTTTTATTTTTTTATTTATTTTGTATTTTATATTTTTTTTGAATTAAAAGTATATAAATTATAATTAGTATTTAGAAAAGTAATAATATTTAATAATACTTTCTGTTAAATTTTCAACAAATGAGTACTATATTATAATATTATATAAGTGAGAAATAATTTCATAATTTTATTTAATATTATTCTCAATAATGAGATCAGAATGAAAATATAACTAAGAATTTAAATATATTCTTTATTTAAAATTAAATTTTTATTTGAAAAGTGAATCTGAAATCTTTAATATTTAAAATAATGTAATTTGAAATTAATGTAATAAATATAAATTATAATCAGAAGTAATACTTTTAGATAATATAATATCTATAAAGTTTAATTCTAGTCTCAGATATAATTACACAGTCAGTTTAAATATATGTAATATTATGTAAGATTATATTACAGAGTATTTTACTTAGAAAAGTTAATTTTTCTATAATATATAGAAAGATATATCTTTTTCAATTAATTATTATTTATATACATGTCTTTCTTATCTTTATTATTAATATATTATCTTAACTCAGTGATTTCATTATTAATAAGATTGTATATCTTTTTAAGAATAATTATATATCTGTTAAAATTATACAGAGTATTAATTATTATCTAATCACTATATATTAAATTCAGTAAAATCTTTGCTGTTTTGAAACTGCTAGAGAACTCTGTTTAACATGTAATATAAAGTCAAAGATTATATTAGATATCTTATCAGAATTGAAAAGTCAGTTAAATACTTAGTTTAATAAAGATTTTAAAGCTTTTTTACATCATACAGTTGAGAACTTTATGAGAGAAAAAGATATAAAAGAATATTTCAGATCTACTTATATAGAATAGTATTATAATAATTAGAAAGATTCAGATTATAATTCATTATAATACAAATTTAGAAGTGAAAGCAGTATGAGATCTGTTCTCATCACTATAAATAGTGAATAAAGATGATTTGAATTTCTGCAATTTTATCTGTTATAATGGACTTTTTAATCCATCTCTTATAATTTGAAATATACTCTTGTCAATATTCATTGGATTCGATGGAAGATTCAACGGCGGATTTGATGGAAGATTTCCATGGCGGATTTGATGGAAGATTTCAACGGTGTATTCGATGGAAGATTTCAACGGCGGATTCGATGGAAGATTCAACGGCGGATTTGATGGAAGATTTCAATGGCGGATTCGATGGAAGATTTCAGCAGTGTATTCGATGGAAGATTTCAACGGTGTATTCGATGGAAGATTTCAACGGCGGATTTGATGGAAGATTTCAATGGCGGATTCGATGGAAGATTTCAGCAGTGTATTCGATGGAAGATTTCAACGGTGTATTCGATGGAAGATTTGAACAGCGTATTCGATGGAAGATTCAACGGCGGATTCAATGGAAGATTCAACGGCGGATTTGATGAAAGATTTCACCAGTGTATTCGATGGAAGATTCAACGGTGGATTCGATGGAAGATTCAATGGTGGATTCGATGAAAGATTTCAACGGTGGATTTGATGGAAGATTCAACAGCAGATCTGGATGTGAATGATAATGAGATTGTGAATTCAGTTCTTCTATTTCTTTCATCATATATTTCATCATCATCACATTGATTATCTCACTTGGGAATGTCATATTGAATGAAGTTGAAGCTGCCAGAGCTGAAGAAGAGAATATAACCACTGACATTTGAGAGATCTGTATAGAAGAATTGATTGTAGAAGTTGTAGATTCATTCTTCTGATTCTTCTTCTTCTTTCTACTCATTAATCATTTTGTCATCTCTCTTGTTCTTTATCTCATTGATAATCACCTGTTCATACAATCTGTATGAGATGTCAGGTTCAGGGGTAGAGATTCACAGATATAGAATCCTCAGACTGAGTCTCTATATTCTTCTCATTCATCTGCTTCTTCATCTCATCATTGACTGAATTCTCTTCATTATCCGAAACTTCTGGAACAGGTAGTTTGAGAAGACTGAGGCACAGTGTAGAAGTCTTTGTATGAGCTTGTGAAGCAGCAGAACAGTGAGTGTTATGAGATATATTGAAAAAAGAGTTGATTGATATATGTGAATTTGATAATAAAGATAAGAAAGACATGTATTTGAATAATATTTAATTGAAAAAAACATGTATTGAATGATATTGAATGATTCTAGAGAAATGCAGATATTTTGATTTTTTGATGATGTTTTGCTACTAATTTTCAGAGGGGGCTGAGAAAATTCTGTTTTCACAAGTAATATGTCCACCACAATAGACTGTAGCC